CCGGCTACTCATTAGGGCCTAGTTTTGATGTGAGCAGATAAACAATATATAATTATATATATACACATATTATATAATTATATATAGAAGTCCATATATACTCAATCCACCGAAAGTACACTGGCGCTGGACATCATGTTACTGTTTCTTCCTAATCCCAGTAGCAACTGCTAACCCTGCATAATCCAACTTCAGCCTCAGCGAGGTTGCTCACCATGGATGGATTTCGCCCAGTTCCATTGGTCCGATTGCCTCCTTGTGATTGGAAATAGCCAATCTTAGATACTCTTGTAGAAATCCATATTTTGAATATAGCTGGTTCAATTAATATAGTACCAGCAGTGTAAGAGTGACCTTTTGATATATCCATATCCCAAAAGGGTCACTTAGGCAATTATATTCCAAAGGGTCACTTAGCCATTTCCAAAGGGTCACTTAGATATATCAAAGGGTCACTTAGGATTCCTAAATACACCTCATGTGGTAGGATCCTTAACATCAAGGGATATTGTGGTAAACCATAGGGTATCTCCATCCCATCCATCCCATCCATCCCTTCCATTTCCATCGCTGTGCACTGATCATCTTGGACGCTGTTGCCTTTGACAACTTTGTGGAGGCGCCATCTCATGGGCTGAGTGGTGGAAAGTGATTCATAAAGCAATTTAAGATCTTTATGGTGGGACCCATTGTGGTATAGTATCATATCATTCGAGACGGCGTAGCCAGCGAATGCAACAGTATGCCGCCCATCGCATTAAGACCTGTCGGCCTAACAACTGCCCATTCGCCAGCAGAGCAAATTGCTTCACCTTTCCCACCTTGGTGAGGGAATGTAAGGGGTGAGATTTTTGACCAGGATATGCTAGCTAAGCCTACGCATGTGTTTGCAGTATCTGGGGATGCTGAGAGTTTTGACTTAGAAGTTTAAGCGAGTGACATGTGCGCACACACACACACAAACACACACCAGCACCAATAAGTACATCAAAGCAACCATGTCCTCGTCCCCGTAGCACGATGTGCGCATAGGAGAAAACTTTTGCGCTTGATCCATGCAAATATGGTCAAGCCTTGGCTGGGCGACAATCCCTTCCCAGTAGAACCCTCCCACATCTTTCCATGCTCATTGATGCAGCCAAAGTAGCTTGTGCAGCTTCGGTCGCAACTTCCATAAAAGGCGTTTCTGCTCCAAAGCTTCTGCAGCTAGACCTTAGAACAGCACAGAGCGCGTGTGCGCGCACACACACACACCAATGTATTCTTTAAGAATCATATTCTTTAAGAATCATATTACATACTCACACAGCCCAAGCCAACCATCCCATCCCATTACAAAAAACATAGTGTGCCACTAAGCTACTGTTCAGGGCACTGTGGAAGAGATAGTTTGCACTCTGCAGTTTTTGCAAGCACTCGGATCCCAGAATGATCCCATGCCGGAGGGAACATGCTTCACGGATTGCAACTGCATTCACAAATAATGCAGCTCGTAACCTAGCCCGAGGGATCACCAACTTTCCATGGTGTGTTTCTGAAGTGTTTCAAGTGACATCACACTACAACATACTAGAACCAGTGCAGCTGTGACCCTTACTGTGCGTGTGAGTCATCCGGACACTTGGCAGCAATTGCCAAAGTGATACCCATAAGCCACCTCGCCAGAATCACAGACTCCTTGGCTAGTAAAACAACAAAGGCACTTTTCAATATGTGATATTTTGCAGAATTCACTCACATGCCCCTAGAAAAGGCACATACACTAAGGCGCGATCTGATCCATTGAAATGTTTCTGAGCCAGGGTCGGATACTCTTTTGCACCCTGCATATGTGACCTGAGACTTAATAACTTAAGTACTTATGCAAGCTCAGCGACACCAACACAGAAAAAAAAAACACCTGGCACACAGTTGCATACCCCAGCACACTTTCCCACCCAGCAGCAACTTGTAGAATTGCCCACGGTTTCCTTGGGAACATGGCAGACAGAGAGTGGTTAGGGTATATAGTTAAACAAAACCATCAAAACGCGCATATCGTGTCATATTGGGTCCACATGCAAAATGAGATTCGGATCTTGTGAGTCCTGCACAACTTGGTGAATTCAGCATAAGCTGTTTGTAAACGATCGTCCACAGTTGATCCTGCGAACAAGCAAACGCTATAGAATGCACAGAAAATTAGTGTGAAACAGTCACACGCAATGCACCCCTGACTCACATAATATGCATGCACATAAACACAATCATGCCTGCCCATACTTCATCAGTCTGTGTCAATTCCACCAGAGCCTGCATAGAGGGTATGTTTCTTTGATGGGCTAATCACTGCATACGAAAAACATGCATCGACCTTGCATTGACCATGGCATGCACACCCACAATGAAATGCAATCAAGAAACTGAAGCTGCCGCATCCGGCACAAGTGTGAGATCAAAGACATGGAGTAAATCATATGTCATCACATCCACATGCCACCCCGGCAGTCGCACCCATGGATTGGGCTTGCACAATTGTATAAAGTCACTGGTTGTTAAGAAGGTTGTTCGATGCTGCGCATTTGGTCCAAAATGGGTATATAACAGACTTGATGTTGACATCCGTGAAGCCTTGCATGTCCAGCATACCTGTTGAGATAGCCAAGAGACGCCAATGTGGTACGCTTTGGCCAGATACTTCTCGTCACCACGATGGGCGCACAAAACTGCTCTCCAACCCCCAGCCAACTCCTTCCCTTCCAAACCTTTTCGGCTAGGAACAGTCTCTCCCCATGGTCCTTTGTCCAGATACCTCCCCGACATCAACTCTACAAGGGACCACACCATCCAGCTGTCCATGGTGTTCAACGTTTCGTCACACGTTTTGGAGCTGTCCAGACAGTAGCAGAGCAGCCGGGATTCCCACGGTGAGCTACCTTTGACAAGTAGGGAAGCAAAAGAACAAATCATAAATGACCTTCTTCTGTGACTCTCCGCGTCATCCCCATGCAAGATCAAAGGGACACATTTCGATACATTCGTGGCCTCAATGTTGCACATAAACTAACCATGCATACATCCATGGCTCACAGTCTCACCAGCACGTTACACAAGAATGTGCATGCGCCATTTTTTGCAGACATGTAGCCGGATCACTCAGAATGGGGTGTTCTTTGAAGAACTCTGTGTCCCGAAAGTGGTTCCAGAATCGCATGATTGCCTTGAGGGCATCACAAATCCCTATCATCAATCCCCATCCCACATCTACACGCCCACCACATGCAGTCTATGACAAGTTGCCGACTCATCATCACCTAGAAAACGTTGTCGGAACAGCTTCTCGTCATAGTGGAAGATAGCCGAGAACCTTGGATCAGCAACAGGCAAACACCCACTCATACACCCCTCGAGTGAACACACAGAAAACACACAGACACACACACACACTCATGCACATATACAATCTTTTGAGCCATGACTCACATCACTGGGTAAGAACATGTGCCATGAGGACATAAAGTACTTGTTCTCCCGGGACGGATCTTCAAGTACAACTTCCACCCTTAGCTGCTAGCACGGTGTCAAACCAAATTTTGTTTGAACCATATAACAGCTAGCTCATGATGCACAGAGTAGCGTTACATACTGTCATTATTGTCAAGACACGTAATCGGGTTGGGGAGCATTCGTCTCCACTGTTGTCTAGATACCCACTGCCAGAAAAGCCTCTGTGCATTTTTTTCATCATTCCTCTCCATACGCAACAGGTCTCGCATGTTTGACCTTGGGAGGGTGATTGATAGATGGTATCCTATGAAAAAAAAAGTGACAATGAGTATACTCGGAACCTGTGATTCCAATGGCATAGATTGCAGCTGGAGTCACGGTAAAAGCCTTCTTGGGAATCGTCTTCGAATAATATTCAACATAGACATGATAGTTTCGACACTGACCTAGGTGTTCATCAACCTTTGAACACAGGTTCATTGGATCATTGGAAACAATCACCAATGGTATACTAATCTAAAGTTTTTTTTTTGCCAAGCCACTTTGCGCCCAAGCTCTAGAAACTCCTCCACCAGATCCATAGTGGTGAATCGCCGAGCTTTCGTTGGAAAGCCACATGGGTCCCCAGAATTGAGTCAATGCCGGGTTTCCCTTGGATCCCCATAAACGTAATTCAAGTGCGTGTTGTCACTTAGAGGTTTGGTTTATGATCCATTAATGTAATCTCCATTTCATATGCCTTATAACTTTTTCGGGGCCAACTTCCATTGTTTTATGTAATAGCCCCACATCATCAACTGTTATATGCCATATATTTTCAGCTGTATATTCTAAGATATGCATATATACCCCATACCTTTAGAGCCACAAGAGATACACAGCTTGTGAATGCAGGCTGCTTCAGAGGAACCCATCTCAACTGTCATCTTGACAGAGGCCGGGAACTTGGGGTTTGGCACTGGTAGAGGTGAAATTAGATCATCTAAATTGTTTTCTTTCACATGTCAATGTAAGACGACTCCGCTTCGAAGATTGGTGCACGATCGTTTATTGGATCGTGTTCCCATAAACATATCAGCATCGAACGTGGTAGCTGATATAAACCCCCATGTCAAAACAGCACCATCAGCCAACAATATGAATGAAGTTTACAACATCGAACAATTAAATCTTCAGTTTGAATGATACCCATGTGCTGGCTGAAAGTCATCGTTTCTACAATTGGCAAGTGCCCATCATCGCTCATTAGAAACAACATATCCAATCAACTCTGAAAAAGATTTCACCTGACAAAATGAATTTACCAATATTTACCATAATTTGACAGGCACTTGCAGTGACTCGCTCAATGACCACACTTGGGTCAAGTAGGACACACCCATACACATGTATGCTTCCATGGTGGATTTCCCATAAGGAGCGGATGATGCCATCATTGCGACCTTTGGTGGTATATATGCACAAGTGTTTGTTGATTATGATTATATCATAAAGGGCCAACTTATTTCAATTGCTTAATCATCCTCCCCGGAACCACTTGCTTCGCTGCTCTGGACAGGCTCAGTGTCGTCAGCCTGAGCAGCCCTCTTGCGGGGCCCCTTGGCAACTGACACTCTGCGCTTGCCGTCCCTAAGATCCTGTTCGATCACTGCCAAAAGTGGCTTTTGGGTATCTAGCCAACTATACAAGTCATCGGGATCAACCTGCGAAACAGGGAGTGATGCCTGGTCATTGGCACCATCACAGAGTCGTGGTAAGTCTGCAAAGTGTAGTCCGAGAACACGCACCTAGGCTAGGATTTCCATAAATGATATCACATATACTTAAGGGATCGAGTTAAGACCCTTTAATAATTTTTCGTGTAATTGGTAGCCATGCAACATTGTGGGATATTGTTGGGTTAGGGTTGGTTCCCATACGCAACATGTTATATTTGTGACAAGGCACGAGCTCCTCAGAATTGCGAACCTTGAGATTTGAAAGGTCATCCATGCACTTCGGCACTTCGTTCAGGCATCTCTTGTACCTTAGGCATCAATAACATCAAGTATGGGCTAGTTGGGACCTTTGAGATATGATGGAAAACCATCCACAAATCTCGACAGTAATTATATTATAGATCATTATTGGAATCAGGGTACTTTGTGAGAAGTTGTTTGGCTTCCCCCAAGGCTGTCTGAGCTGGCGTTTTCTCTTTCTTTGCCTTCTTACTTCGAACAACTCCTGTCTTAAGGTCCATTTGGGACTGGGATTCAAGACTCTCCATTCCAACCTTAAGTTGCTTGGCGATCATCTCTTTCATAGAGGCAGACCTAACTCTGCCACCCACCCGCATGTCGGTCTCTCCCCTAGTTCCAGTGCTAGTGTTTTCAGCTACTTCACGTAGCACTTTGTACATTTTTGCAGCCTCGTTGTTTGGACATTGAGGATGTGGAACTCCAACTTGTCCTTAGCTATATTTGACAATCAACACTTTATATATTTCGATCATCTTCCAACTGGCTGCATCGTATAACATACAAATTTAGAGTTCCAGCCAGGATTCCCTTGGTAACTGACTCCACGAAAGCCTTGGCCTCTTTCGAGCGCCCGTAGATTTTGTAGAGTTGCAACTTTGTCACCTGGGATGGTTTGTGACATGATATTAAATGCATTTCTTAATGGATAGTGCATCCAGAAAACCGTTACGTACTTGTCTGTCCGAAGCTGTTCACACCACTTCGTGAAGCGCTCTTCAACAGTGATGGAATCGATCTTTCCATCGGATAGAAGCCATTGCTTCAGCATGGACCACCTAGTGGGAGAACTCTGGGGCATATAGGGGTTGGGGTTTTGAGGTTTAAAAGAATAATACTTTTGATCGATAGATTATATGATTCCTTGATGGCTCGATATATCATATATGATATGTGATCCCGCCCCCAGTATATAGAAGGGATATGAAGGGATCTCTATGATATATGCAAAAAACTATCTTGACTCCACCATCCCATCCCCACCTTTCACCATCAGAACTCAAGCTGAACTTAGCAAGGAGCGCTGGCTCACATGACCTGATCACAGCCCTTCTCAGGGCTGAGTACTGCCGTTTCCGTTCATCATATGGCATATCCTTTGGTGATGCCATCTGTTCCAGGGCATCTTTTTGTTCCTGGCTTAACTTTTGGATCCGGGTCTTCTTCTCACCCTTGACACTTGAATTTCCTCCTGGAGTACTTCCCTGCAATCAGGTTGTGCTAAAAATCATCGGTTGCTTTGGTCCTAAAATTTCTAATGGGTGTGAGTGTTTGGATTATTGGAAATTGACATCAATATCAGGGGATGCCAACCCACACCAACAACACCCCTGAGATAAGTTCAAACTGGCCTGGCTTCCCGTCTGACAGGTAGAAGTGGGGCTCAACGCCAGTCCACCAAGAAAGCTTGGCATGGTCCTCACTCTCTCGATTGGGGGCTTGGGCGAAGCCACATCGGACGGTGGGTCCTGGCAGTCAAGCATGGTCAAACCAAGGGATCTATTTGACAATAAGATATACAAGTACCACAGCACTCATAGAACTATCGTCGACCCAACTTGACAAATTTGAAGATGTCCTATAGGCACCCAAGTAACCTGTAACAATACTTGTTGACTTAATATATAGTATAGTGATAGTCAAACTCTGAGCCTAGCCTCAGCATCCTCGTCAGAACTTGATTTCGCATCGTCAAACCTGAGCTTCTTCTTTTCAGGAGAGCAGCCCGTATGGCTACCATTGTGGTCTCGCTTCTCTGCTTTGTCCTGAATTGCCAACGGCTTGGGTCGTTTGACATGCTGGTTCCCACTGGATGCAGTGGTGGAATCCTCCTTTGTGCTATCTTCTCCCTTTCTCTTGGGTTTCCTTGTTTTTTCGGGTGACACTTCAATCACTTGATCACTGGAGCAAGCCTCAGCGCCCTCTGGGACACTGGTTCTGCTTTTTGTTTCTGTCACATCTTTCAGAGCTAGAACTGTGGTTGGTGCCTTCTCTGGCTGAGTGGCTGGTGCTTTCTTGGTCTGGTCGAGCTTGGTGGCTTCTCTTGACTTCTCAACTTCCTCAAGTGCGAGTGGTTTCTGACGTGCCAGTGTTGTGTCGTGTGGATTGCCCTTCTGCGTATCAGTATTTTTCTTTTCTTTCTTGTCCTTCTTTGTCTTCTTATGTTTCCTGTCATTCTTGTTGTCCTCCTCGTCGGGCTGCTTCAATCCACCAGTCTTGGAATTGTCACCACCTTCCGTCTCACGTGTTTCCTTTTCCTGTTCCACCTCCCTTGCCTCAACTTCAGAGTCATCGTGCTTTGCCTTCTTTTTTTGAGGCTTTCCACCATCACCCAGTGGTGCTTGCGTTTCCTGCGTCCCCATCTCCTTTGCCTCACCCGCTTTGCCACTCTTGCCCGATTCGTTCTTCCTGGTACTCTTAGCATTTTGACCTGCTTTATCATCTTTGCTGGTGTTCTCATGAGCTGCGGTTGCTTCACTCTGCTGAGTAGAACCTGAAGGCTTCTCCTTTTTCTTCTCCTTTTTCTTCTCCTTTTTCTGTGCTTTCTTGCCAGTCTGTGAATCGCCTTTATTTTCTGCAACCTCACTTGTGTCATCCTTCTGAGGTGTTTTCTTGCTTGTCTTTGTTTCTACATCAGTGGTCTTTCCAGCTTCATTGGTCTCCTTCTTATCTGCAGATCCTTCTTTGTCGGTCTGCCGTGTCTGCTTCAGAGGCTTCTCCGCTTTCTTGGTCTGTGATCCCTTTGTATTCTCATCTTGCTTGTGAGCATCAATGTCTTTCTTGCTGCTTTCGCCTCCTTGATCTTTCGCTTTCACCTTCGTCTCACCTTTCTTCTCAGTGTCTCTACTCTTTGACACCTTAACCTTGGTCGTCTTCTCCTCCACCTTCAGCTCCTCAGTCTTTCCCTCAGGTGCCACCTTCTGAGTTGTTTTCTTCTTCGCAGCATCTCCTTTCTTTAGATCCTCCTTGGTGTCCTTGTTGCTGTCCTTGTTGCTATCCTTGTTGCTGTCCTTGTTGCTGTCTTTGCCTGGTGCCTTCTCACCTTCCTTGTGAGCCACCTTGCTTGTCTTGCATGTGTTCTGGCCTTCCTTCTCTGACAGTGCAGGCGTCTTTTCCTTTTTCTTGCTGCTTTCGCCTCCTTGATCTTTCGCTTTCACCTTTGTCTCACCTTTCTTCTCAGTGTCTCTACTCTTTGGTTCCTTTGGCTTGTCCTGCTTTGTCTCAGGTGCCACTGCCTTGTTGCCTTTCTTGCTATCTTTCTCAGTCTTTGGGCCATCTGGTGTCACTTCCTTTAGTTTTGCCTTCTCAGTCTTATTCTTCCGTATGGTCTTCTCATCATCATTCATGAAAGTATCTGCTGAACTTGCAGCAGTAGAAGCCTTACCTTTGTCCTTTGGGGCTTGTGTTTTTCCCATCAGTCCTGCGCAGTGTGATATATATTACTCGAATACACTATTGTATATCGGGTATAGGGCATCCCATGCAGTTTATGATGAATTACCAAAAAAAACAATAAATTGCATTGGCAATATGATGGTCCTCCACAAAGGCTTTCGTAGGACTTTTCTCAAAATGGCAAAATGCCGTTTTCGAGCCACTATTTGACACGCAATTGACACGCTCCCCCCTCGACATAGGCAGTGACCTTTTTGATATCAAAGTGACCTTTTTGATATCAAAGTGACCCTTTGAGATTACTAAGTGACCCTTTCTTTGATATCAAGTGACCTCTTTTTTGATATCAAAATGTCCCATTGACACGCGATTGACACGCATTGACACGCACCTTTTGAAGCCAAAAACCCAAAAATGCAAAATCAAAATAAACCACCAATTGCCACGCTGAGGTGAATATTATCAAAAAACTGTTTGGTCGGCTTGGGGGCCCAGATCAAATAGTCGGGAATGGAGCATGCCGGCTTTTTTTTTCTGGATGCCCTTCACACATCTCAAATTTGGTCCAGTGGACCTACCCCTTTAAGATAAACAGAACTATGGTACGATGGACCACACATTTCAGGTCCACTTGAGTTGTTGACTATGCAAGCCACGTAGCTTACTGCCGCTCAGCCAAGTCATCTTCATCAATGTCACATCGGCAGTCACGCGAGACACCAAGCAAGATGACATATTCCTCCCTGGATGCGAAGTGGGAATTGGATATCGTGCATACACTACAGTGTTTTATTTGTCAAAGACCACCCGTATTTGATACAAAATCACTAATTGGTATTGAAATCAGAAACATGTTATGATATTGGTAGGTCGTGTGCCCCGCCTGGGTGGGTATCGTTCAAGTTGAGGCGCCCAACAGCTAATGCAGATTCTCTCACGGGCGATAGTCAGCAAAAAGTTCATCCATTGCTCTTTGGTCCATTTCTCTCTAGTCATGTTTCTAACTTGTATCCTTCTGAGCTTGGAATGGCTTCTTGAAAACTACTACTGAAGAGATACCATATGTCATTGAACAGTGTGGACTATGATCTAACCATCTCAGTTCCCTGCACTACCTCGTGGGTATGATATGGATTTCAAATGTTTTTGTAGGATTCCAAAACCCCTGAACCCAGCTCCATGGAGACCTCGGTAACCATTCAATTTTACCGATGCATCTTTAAATATGTCCTTAATCCCATATCAATTCTTTGGTTTTCCAGAGGGTGCCCAAAGATAAAATTGAATGATCACACATGCATGTATGCCACAACTTTTGTCACCGCCCTTTAGCTGTGCCATGAGGCCTCAAAGTTTGCGCCAGTGGCACCGATCAGGGCCTTTCAATAAATCGTCCAGGCAGCCATCATCATCGCTGTCTGGGTCATCAGCTGTGATGTTGAGGTCCTGGGGCAAGCACACCATAACCCAAGAAAGTAAGGGATCTAGCTGTGCATGCACGTATATATGCATGTATAGATCTGGGTTTTTTATATATATATATATATCGGAAAATAACCACCAAATTCAAATGGTCATAGGGGCCCAGGATAATAAAGCATGTGTAGTGCATATCAACTACTGTTCACCACCCAACTATATGATTGCCGAATTGTGTAAGCGGTGTATTTGGGTAAGAATATCACCCGACTATACCCGACTAGTATAGATCCCATAGGTAACAAATGTGGATGAAATGAGTCACATAGGATAATATGGGATAATAACCATGAAGAACTTATGGCTATAGGTTATAGACAACCAAATACATTCCACAGTTGCAGGCCCACTGTGGGAACATGTTGCAACCCCCTTATGGTTGTTTAGCTGACTCTTAAAAGTCACAATTGCACGAACAATTATCAGTTGGAGATTTTTATATTTTTTTAACACCCCATCCAAGCTCACTGAATCATTTAGTGGTGGCTACACTGGCGACAGGATTAAACATGGTTTAAACATATATATATATATTTTTTGCCAACCCCAGTCCAGTGAAGAAGGTGGCGAATTGGTAGGGGCAAGCAAGGCTGCCAGAGCCAACCCAAACTTAAGAGGGTATTCCCCTGATCGTTTAAGCTGTTTTGCCTTTCCGTTGACTTTCTTCACACCCGTGGATTGGTCGACATTGACCTCGACCAGCTGGGATTTGCCATGAATCCTGGACGAAGGGCAGGGCAACTGGAATCATCAGTAACAAGTTCGGCTACCGCGTGAAGGTTGGTTGAACTGCTACTGCTGTGGCGAGATCGGATACTTGAAGGTGTGACACTGGAGGGCTGTCCCAGCACTCGACATGACGTGCACACTCTGTGGAAACAAGGGACACCTTGAGAAACCCTTGCTCTACACCATGGGATGTGAAGCTGCTGACATTTCTCAGCAAAACAGAGATGTTCCGATGCTTTGGTTTCATGGAACGATTGCCTTGAAGCCTTGTGGTGGCTGAAGACTTGGCCGAAGACTTCATCACATAAATTGGAATGGTGTTCCTAATTTATAGTTGATGTTTATACATGAAAACCCAGATCCCCCCACCAGCTTGCTGACAGGTCCTCTTCAGTGATTCCTTCAGCATCTGCACATTCAGAGGCCGGTTGAACGAGTCCAACTTTTCGATGGTACCATGAAGCCTTATGAGTGCAATGGCACCACGCAATGGCACCACGGTATGTCATTCATGAAATATTTTTGGATCTATGATATATTAAAAAACGTGTTGTTGTCTCAAACCCTTAATGATTCGATGTAGGTCAAAGATATTGGTATGAACCCAAGTTAGCATAGCCAAGTAGCACTGTCGGTTTTAAGGTGCAGGCACCGAAGTCCCCCATGCAAAACGATACTCTCCTGCATGCATGTATGCACACCATGTGGTAAATCGTTTGGAGTAAAGGATAAAAACAGAAATTTGACCTGGGACTGATTTATTAGCACTTATCATATGGCACCAAAAATATTCCCTTTGATAATTTTCAAAGCTAAAGACCACAGCCCTGTCCTGCACTGCGCCCAACGAAGAAACTTTCGCACAGGTGGCCACAGCCACATCACCTGAGATCGGAAGGAGCAAGGGACCAGGTTGTTTACATTGGGTTGCAAGTGCCCATGGCTACGGGTATACATAAAAGGGGGAAATTAAAACATAAGCCGGTAAGATGGGCGAGACACTGAGGATTGTGGCTGCTCAATCAATATCTTCACACCCCTCTTCACAGCGAAGTAGAGTCTCAGTTCAGACATGCAGAACATCATTTAAGATATCATATCATGGGCCCCTCATCCTTATGAAGTTCAAGTAACATATAAAGAAGTCGTCGCACCAGTATATTTGCCAGCTGAACACACTTGCGATCATTGCCACCAGGGTTGCTCCATGATCTTCCCGTGATTGAGGAAGAAAGAAAAATCCATAATCCACATGGTGGAGCACATACTAGTAGGCCTCCAACTTTAGTATTGCGTACCTTGGATGTTCCAATGGGTCCAAATCACACCCGGAATGAACCATTTATAGCAATAGGCTATATAAAACCATATCGCAAATAATATATGCATGGTATAATCGTTCCAATCCATGTAAATGCAGGCAGGTTGCTGCCATCAGGAGTGTAACGAACTCAACAGTTCTCATCAGATTATGGTTGTTCGAGTAAAGTACCTGAGCTGAAACACAACAAAAGATTCCTGAGGGTTGATGGAAACTATCTCCCAATTATCATGTGGCGCAGCATTGTCAAAAACCATCTGCTGATTATTCCCCTGGGCTTCCTTTTGATTATTACCCGCGAATAGTAACCAAATATAAGTTTAACCCATGGATTTGTTTTTACGATCATACATTGATCCATTGGTATACCCAGGCACGTCAAATTCTTTCCCTCTAAATCCACTCATGCGAAGGCCTTTGGAGAGGTTTGCGCGGCCTGCGCATATCTCCACCTGAGGACTTAGGATGGGGCTGGATGGGTGGAGTCGGATGAAGTTCATCTGCGAGTTTCATCAACCTTTTTGGGAAAACAATCAATGAACCATATTTGCAACCAGGAAACAAAATCATTCGGAGCTTCAGGGAGTTGTACTTGCCCAAGAAGAAGTAAAATGGGAAGAAGGTGTGTGGCTCTCATGGCTCTAACCCCGAAGTCTAACCCTTTGAAACTTCAATACATCAGGCTGAGCTTTTGCTCAGGTATGGAGCCAAAAACGTTTCTCGATTACATAAATCCAATCCTTTCGCTAATGGTCATGCATAAATCAATCTGAATACGCGCATTGACCAGCAACACAAATAATGTTTCATATATCATATGCCAGCGCGTTGCATGACACATATTTTTTTTTCGCCAAGTCAAGGTAGACATGTATCACTACAGGTATGACACCTGCATGTCGAAAGATGGCAACAGGAAAGCATACAGCCATGCAGGGACATAGATGAGTTGAACCATGTTTGATGACATTAATATGGATAAACCAGTGGGGGCCCCTCTATGCACGGCTGTTAATGCAAGTTGCGCCAAACCCCATAGGAATCCCCCTAGTTTGAAGCCACCATGGGCAAAAACACACCTGGACATTTGGCTGCCAGTGTATATGCAGCAAAGGCTTTGATTGAAACAACAACTTGATCAAGTGTCGATGTTTTTTTTTTGGTGGTAAGCTTTCATGGAGTTGGGCCCCAAATTCCAACAGCCTTTACTCTGCCTTTGACTTCTTCTTTTTAAGTTTCTGGTGACGGGTCTTTCGACCGTCATCTGCAGCAGACGCCTTGAATCCAACCTGGACTGCCTTGGCAAGGGAATAGTACTTAGTCCCATGGGGGTCGATAAAGACCTTATAGGTATAGTTTTTCATTTTCCCGCTCAATCTCTTCCGTGTCTCGATTTGCCAGCCATCCTGCGCATCAGCAGTTGCAATGACTTCGAACTTCCTTAGTGTTGGCTTACATGTCGAAGTTATTTTGGGATCCCCATGGTGAAGAAACACTTATACATTCCAAATTGTATAAGTTAAATAAGACCAAGTTTCCCCCTGTCTTTTGTCTTTCCTTTTTTGGCATTTAGAAGAGCTAGCTGGTCTGCTGGACATGGAACCTTTGCATTGGCTCTATCCAAAGCTTCTTGTTGAACCCTGGAAATAACCACTTTGTAGGCTGAAAAAGTGAAGTCCTTGGCATCAACGCACTCCACCACTGAAGTCTTTGCAGAGTCCTGCAAGCTGAGTTAAAAGAACCATGCCGTATATAAATCTGAAGGGATAAGGTGATATCCTGGGCCCCATGGCTAGTTCTATGATTCAATGGTGTAGAATGGTGTAGCAGTATCCCACCATAGTATCACTCCCCAGTCAGTATACAATGATAAATTATCTGTTTCACTATAGCTGGTCGTGGAATGGGGGTCACACTATTTTTTCTTTAAGCATATTTCCCATGATAATATCACTACTACCCAGTCGATATATATGATTCTGATAATAATATAATTGATAATGATAAAACATCTGGTTGTGCAATGGCGGCTAGCGGAAGCTCTTCCTCCCTCTTCTTCTTGCCAAAAGCCTTCGAAGGCTTCACCGCAGCTTTGGGTGCTGGCTTCTCGGGAGTCAAGCTTCCTGAGTGGTTGGATGACAGGGTCTGTATCTATATACAGTACTAGGACTGCTGTTTTTGTTTTTTTAAGATGTACGAAATTGACCATATGCATCCATATGCCATCCATCAGAATTATGATCGAGGCATCATATTTTTTTCCTTGTAGAAAATTGCTCCAGCATGTTTAAATCGATCCCATCAAATCCCAGTTGAGTATAGTTTAGACCAACTTGTAAAAAAAATGCCAACAAGACTCGAGCACTCTTTGTTCGATGTCGGCGCTTCGGGGCCTTTGTCTCCTCCTGTGGCTTTTCATCCTCTTTCTCACAATCCTTCCCAGAGGTAGAGGTAGGAGTTGGTTTTGGGAGTTCTTTCATCTCAAGCTCCATTTTTGCCAAACATACTGCCTCCTTGCTTGGCATGGCAACTAGCTTAGCAAATCTAGGTCCTGGCGTTGTCCATCTCCGTATGTTTGATTTGGGAAATTCCTTCCTCACACTCCATGTTCCCGGCTGCACCTCTTTCTTGACCTTCACATCGTCATCCTGCGAGTCATCATTGTCGTCTTCTATGTCTTCATCATCATCTTTCTTTCCTGCCTTTTTCTTCACGTTCACCTTTGCCTTCTCTTTGCGGGTGCACGCAGCAGGCTTCTTAGGGGCTGCTTTGCCTTTGGGTTTCAACCTGCCTTCTTTGTTCAAAGCAATCGCTTGATCTACTTCAGCATCAGACAAGCCCATGGTCGTAAACCCAGCAGCAGCAGCACTGGGACGTCCAAGTGGTCTGGCTTGGCTCAGCACTTTTTTTCTTTTCAGATCACGTGTTTTTGACGTTTCATCTTCCTCATCACTGCTGTCATCCTCGCTATTGTTGCCACTGCTGCTGCCTGTGCTGCTGCTTGAACTAGATGAGCTAGCCTCACTTTTGCTTTTCTCATCAGGACACGTCTCTTTGTCTGATTCTTTCTCAGCCTCATCTGCCTTTTCATCATCGCTTTCATTTTCATCATCCTTTTTAGCCATCGATTTGTTCTCATCGGGTTCCTTTGTGTCTGCAGGTTGTTCTTTTTCTTTGTCATCGTCCTCACTTGCCTTTGACTTCTTGTCTCCATCTTGTTCACTTTCAGCGTCACTCGTGTCTGTGCCGCCTTCACTCATCAGCTCCTCGAACAATTCCTTGTCGTCGATCACTTCATCCAGGACCTTCTTCATGTCTGTGCGTTTCAACCAGCCAAAGTGAGACCTTCTTAAGTCTTCCTTCGCCTTCTCTTCATCCTCAGCATCCTTTGACTTCACCTTCTCCTCAGCCTCTGCTTCGCTTTCCCCTTCTTCACTTTCCTCCTCATTGCTGCTGCCTTCACCTTTGTCTCTTTGCTCCTCTGCCTCCTCTTCCTCATCTTCAGGCTTTTCGGTGACTTCATCTTCATTACATTCTTCATCTTCAGCATCCTTTGACTTCACCTTCTCCTCAGCCTCTGCTTCGCTTTCGCCTTCTTCACTTTCCTCCTCATTGCTGCTGCCTTCACCTGTGTCTCTTTGCTCCTCTGCCTCCTCTTCCTCATCTTCAGGTTTTTCGGTGTCTTCAACTTCATCACATTCTTCATCTTCAGCATCCTTTGACTTCACCTTCTCCTCAGCCTCTGCTTCGCTTTCGCCTTCTTCACTTTGCTCCTCATTGCTGCTTCCTTCACCTTTGTCTCTTTGCTCCTCTGCCTCCTCTTCCTCATCTTCAGGCTTTTCGGTGACTTCATCTTCATTACATTCTTCATCTTCAGCATCCTTTGACTTCACCTTCTCCTCAGCCTCTGCTTCGCTTTCGCCTTCTTCACTTTCCTCCTCATTGCTGCTTCCTTCTCCTTTGTCTCTTTGCTCCTCTGCCTCCTCTTCCTCATCTTCAGGCTTTTCGGTGTCTTCAACTTCATCACATTCTTCATCTTCAGCATCCTTTGACTTCACCTTCTCCTCAGCCTCTGCTTCGCTTTCGCCTTCTTCACTTTCCTCCTCATTGCTGCTTCCTTCACCTGTGTCTCTTTGCTCCTCTGCCTCCTCTTTCTCATCTTCAGGCTTTTCGGTGTCTTCATCACATTCTTCATCTTCAGCATCCTTTGACTTCACCTTCTCCTCAGCCTCTGCATCACTTTGGCCATCATCATTGTTGGATTTTTTCGGGGAAGAATCCATATTGTCATCTTCTGAGCTCATCTCATCATTCGCTTCCTGGGCTTCATCACCTTCATCTGATGATGATTGCTCTCGACTCTGTGCAGAGGCTTCTTCAGCTTGTGCAGCTTTCACATCAAAGGTTTCAGCCTCATCACCTTCACTTTCTTCAGTTTGCTCCTCTTCTTCTGCTGTGGGAACTTCTGAGTTGCTTTCTTCTCCTGCATCCTCCTGCTTCTCCTCAGCCTCGCTTTCCTCGCTCGAACTTGAACTGCGATTGTCTTCATCTTCGTCTTCACTTTGGGGTGCTTTGCGCTTTTTACTTCCTTTTCCTTCATCTTCATCGTCCTTGTTGCTTTGTTCCTGCGGAGAGCTGGGATTTGGAGAAATAACCCTAGGAGATGATAGGCTTAAGCTGGAGATGGCATTTGGGTGATTGGACTACCCGTAACATATCATTCAACTATTAGCAGGCTGGGTTATTTTCAGCAACTAGTGGTTGGGACAATAATATTGAATGGCCTCACCGTCATCATCCGGAGTTTCAATGGTGTCCATGGACCCAGAATGCAACCTTGGATATTTGGTACATGAGTGCGAGGGCATGGAATACTATATTAATTTGCCTAAGGAACATCTGTTCTGCTTCCAAGACTGAGAAGTCCATTGGCAACGTATCCACTTCATCGGGATTCCTCAGATCCATACAAAAGTGGTGATGATCAATGAACATGTTTACACCAAGTGCATGCATGTGTGACATAATAAGTTCCCAGTCACACAGTTGACAGTGATCGGGTTGAGCTGGATGATGAACGGAAGGACATTTTTTTATGGCGTATCATAACTTTGTGGCACCGCCCAGCCTCAACACATGTACAAATGGTGTGTTAAACCATTTTTTTGCACAATGTTTTTTCAGAACAAACAAGTTTTCAGCACTTCAGCAATGGGGCTTGTTCTCGTACGCAGGATTCCTTCTCAGTCTTCTTTTTGCAGGGGCCTAAGGATCAAAACAATCCAACAACAACAATCAGATGAACCTTGTCGTAACAGAATATGCGTTAAACCAAGTTGCATAAATCATGGATAGTGGCAAGCTGGTGGACAACCCTTCTTACCTCTCCCTCACGAGGAACCCGCTGAAGTTGTGCATATTCAAAGGCATCTCGAAGCCAAGAATTGCCACAGATCCTAATGTCCCCACCAGGAATCAACTCTTGATCTTCCTTCAGGGTTTCTGGCATGAACTTCTCCATGGATTTGCGAAGTTGCCTGAGATAGTGTTGCTAGATGGAATATGGGATTGGAATATTGAACCAACATCCAACCATCCAACCACTTGTGTGCCAATTTTATAGTCCCTATGTTCTAGTTGATAGATCCTGAACAAGGATTTCCCGAGTGACAATTCAATTATGCCAAGATGCTGGCCCTCATAGGAGAGATTTTTCAACAAAGTCCCAGGGTCATCCAAGGGTTCATCTGTGGATGCCATGGCTGCAAACTGGCAAAGCCCAAAGCTGTGGTTGTTGATTGGGTGTTTCTTTTCATTATTCACTGGTCGATGGGGCATCATGTTACATATAGATCGCCACCCCACCAGTTCCCCTGCCGCAACATGAATGTCCATTCATGTTCCTTCACCTGAGCCGCAGGTGCCAAGAAGAAGCAAGCGGAGCTGCCCTTCACGTCCAATCATCCCCAACATTATTAATTCCCCAACTAACCATCATAAAATATCAGAATATAGCATATCCCAAAGGGTCACTTAGTATCACAAGTGACCTTGTTCAGGTCTCAAGTGACCTTTCGATAAATAATCTCTAAGGGACCTCAATTGGAGGTCACTTTGAAGATCCTGGTATATATATATATTTATTTTGAAGGCTTATAGCGGGTTCAGTTATGTTACTGTAAGTCAATATATCCCCATTTACAGCAAAGAATTGCCGGTCCGCAACCTTTGCTTCACTGCCCATCCGGATTGAAACAAAGCCACGGAAACGCACTTCAGGTGTGCCATGGGCTGCGGCATCAGCACCAGGCCTGGTCGATAGTCGATGAATCTGCGCAGTTTCAAAAACCTGATGGGCTATACGTCTGATTCCCAGGGTTATCGAACAAACACTAACACTAATATATGATCAATGATTTAGTACATGTATGTGTATAGAATATATATATATATGTATATGCAGGTCTGAATTTGCGCACGTGTCACAAAGTGACATTTCACCAATGGAGATCAACGTAGAGATGGTAATAGGTAGTATGATCCCCAATACAGTTGCGCCTCTCGCCTTTAGCCAACGCTTCAGCGTGCAGCAAACGAAGGGCCTGGAATCAGCAACTTCTACCATTCCGTGAATTTTCGATGGCAGCATTTGATCAAAACCTTGTCTCAACTTGAAGGTCTCATTCTGAAATTTAATAGAATCCATTTCAGTATGCAAATTTCGCAGATTCTACCCTCTGGTAAACTAACATAACTATGGAAAATCACCTTTTTTAATGGGAAAATCCACTATCAATGGCCATTTTCAATAGCTATGTTAGTTTACCAGAGGGTAATCCAACATTTTGGCACATGACAATCATGTCATACCCATGGCACATCCCATGGCACCCAAACCAGCCACATGATTCGATGGCCTTCTGAAACAACTCATCGGCAGCCTGCCGATTCGGCTGCCAGGGGATTGGTTTACTGTTCTGTCTTTTGGGTTGCCATGATCAACCTCAAACTTGCATAAACTTGCTATGTTCAAATGCTGAAAAAAGAGCTTCAAAATCTTCAAGAACATGGCTCTAATTCTGAAAGGCTGACACATGTTGGCACATGATATAATTCTACTACTAGGACCAATCTTGTGTGATGCGCAGCAGATTTGCCGTGGGCGATGGTGCAAAAAGACATGCACCACATTTTATGTGATTTCAAGAAAGATTCACCAACAAAGTTCTGGTGAATTATTGAACAAAATTGAAACAACAATTCAAAAGAAATCATCAATTTCACCAACATGTTTGAAAAGAAACAAGTTTTTTATTCACGAAAGATTTCACTCGCTAGCAGCATGTGTTCAGATTTTTTTTTGGCAAACGAGTCATCACATCACGTACGTTGAAGAAACAAATTCATCTGTGTGGCCCAGAAAAGTCATACACGTTAGAGGAATGTACCCTCTGGTAAACTAACATAACTATGGAACATCACCACGCTATTAATGGGTAAATCCACTATCAATGGGCCATTTTCAATAGTTTTCTGTATGTTTACCAGAGGGTAAAGCAAGAACCAATACATCTGGTGGATTAGCCCTCCTTGGAAATCCTGGAAGAGCCTGATCATTTTTTTGTGCTTGCTTGGCAGCAGACAAATGGTAGCCTGATTATACACAACTATTAGCTTAAATCCCATTAAAGTCCCATTATTCAATTAAATTGTGTCTTTGAAACCGGAACGTCGTGTTTGCTTGTAGACTTATTTTTTGGGTGGGTTAGATCCAACTCTTGCTGGAAAAATCATCCATCTTCGGGTACATATTCCGACTTTTGGACATATCATATCCATATCAGGCCCATATCACATTGGGTTGATTATATATATCATATATCTCATTCTTGTCACCATCATTAATCTCCTCATCATTCCCATTATATCCCCATCATATCCCCCTAATAACAACCTTTTCATTCGATCAATTAGTTGCTTCACAAGAACCTCCCTTTCAAAAATCCACCATGTTCCCAGGAATTTCCCATATCCCATCTCAAACATTCTCCCAAAAACAATTTGAAAAGAGCCGTTTCCCATCTGTTCCATGATTTATATAAAGCCATATAAAGCCATCTAAAGAATATCCCATCTGTTCATTTAACACATAGCCATAGCCATGGAATCCATGGCCATGGCGTGAGTTCCATGGATTTTTTCCCTGTTCCCCAGTTAGGTGATGAAGTCGCGAACTGTGAAATGACCAGCGGGCAACGTATTACTTGGAGGATCGTCCCATTGAGTTTTTGTGGTGAATATCCCTGGTTTGTACATCCCGATTCGTGGCTAAAAAACCACCAAAGTACCCTCTGGTAAACTAACATAACTATGGAAAATCACCATTTTTAGTGGGAAAATGTATATTTTGACCAATGCTGAACTCAGACAAATATTCACCAGCTACGAGTACTCACCGGGACGACAAGCCATTTACAAGTGGAATACTTACTAAAGCCGGGGATTTCCCATCCCCATTCAATGCGGCTGGTAGTGGAAAATCCATGGGATTTTTTCCATCTAGAAATGGGTGGTTTCCAAAAACATAGATGGTTTAATCAATGGTAAAACAATGGATTTTCCAGAAATAGTTTTTCCAATGGGTTTTCCATGGTTTTCCCATGGTTTTACCCACATGAAAGCCATTTCAGCCACGGCTCGGCCTGGTCCAGTCCTTCGGCGGCCGAGCCCATTCGGGCGCTCACAGGCCGTGCAGGATCGAGGCTGCCCAACGCTCCTAGCGCTTTACCAAGGTGGAAAACCATGGGAAAACCATGGGAAAACCATGGGGAAACCATGGGAAAACCATGGGAAAACCATGGGAAAACCATGGGAAAACCATGGAAAACCATGGGAAAACCCATTGGAAAACGATGGAAGATATTCGGACACATATGGGAACATATGGCATGTGGAAACATATGGGAAAATCTATGGGAAAGTAAGGGTACAATATGGATTCATATTGGAAAACATTGGAGAAATATGGAAACACATAATCTATAACTAGGAGATTGATGAATCGTTCAAGCATGTTTGAGTGTGACAACTCCACTTTGATGTGCATCACAGTTATGAAAGTGGATATCGCATGTTGATTGATTCTCACTCCCACTGAAAAAGTGCATCCCAGAAAGTATGTAATCAACAAAGCCGCGGTAAAATCTCAATACAATCGGATTAAAATCATGGTTATTGACCACAAATCAAATGTTGATGCCCATCTACCCTCTGGTAAACTAACGTAACTATGGAAAATCACCATTTTTAATGGGTAAATCCACTATCAATGGCGATTTTCAATAGCTATGTCAGTTTACCAGAGGGTAAATATCAACATGACAAACCATTTCTGGATCCCATGTTCCGACCAGACAAGTTCTGAAAATATCTGAAGAGATCGCAGCAAAAAGTGAGGCAGCACTGGGAAGAGATCAGAAGATTGAAGGCAGTGACTTATACTGGTTGGTGGTATACCCACTCCTCTGAAAAATGATGGAGTTCGTCAAATGGGATTATTGTTCCCAATATATGGAAAGTCATCAAAGCCATGTTCCAAACCACCAACCAGTTATACTCCCTGGTCAACCATGAACAATCCCCAAGGCATAGTTCGATGAGTTTCGCATATAAATGGCCCATGAATCGGGGGCTGTCCTATTGCTACCTTTGACGACCAGGTCGGGCGAAAGGTCGTAGTTTGATACGCCAGGAACACGGCAACCCTGGGGAAAACTGCTAGATTTCGCACCACTTGACTCATCATGGGGCCATGGGGGCCATGATGGGCCACAGGGGGTCAGAAAAACTGGTGAAAAAGCCTCAGAAGCCTCACCCAACCCCTCTCCTTGCATGTAACCTGACAGCTGGGGTGGCCCCAGGACAACTAGCAAGCATCAACCGGCTGTGGATGGTGCACACTTCATGGGGAACGAGGCAAACTGCCTGGGAAATGATCATGACATCTCCGCAAAAAGGACACAAAAAGCTTTGAATACACTCTAAAAGCACATATCTATTCAATCTATTCCTCATGTTTGATGCCTTATCCATCCAATCTGATGTTCCTCCCTATTAAACAGCTAAAAGAGTTGGCTTTCCCAGTTGTAAATCCATCATAATCCATCCATTCTGGAATCCCAATTTCTCCCAATTTCATAGATACAATTCCATTACTGAACCAGGCTTTGGTTTGGGTGCTATTCACTTATATAAATCACTTAGAAGGAAGAGATAACCTCATCCACCATGCTGGCGTCATGCCAGAGCACCTGACATGCGAGACACCAAGCGAGCCACCGAGCGAAGAGACGCACTGAAGTCCTACCAAGGCTTGGGATGGCAACAAAAAATGGTGATATAATATTATAACATAATATATATATATATTATATTATATATATATTATATATATTATATATATTATATATATTATATATATATATATTATATATATACAATATATAATATACTATATATAAAATATATATAATATATATATTATATTATATATATTGTATATATATATATATTATATTATAATCAACACAAGGTGGTGATTGATGTGGTTTTGACTACCCAAAAAATTATTAGATCTGAGATTTAACTGACTTGAACTGACTTGGGGATGGGGATAGAACCAACCAAAATGAAGATTTGTGGGACTTTCATGGAATTTAAGCAACCAAACTTGAGATCTTAAATTAATTTAAATGGGATTGTTCAGAAAATTCCAGGCGAGCGTAACACACCTATGAATCATGTGGGTGAAGCCCAAAACGGCTGAATTTACGGGTCAATGCGGCAATGGTGACCCGGAGGGGCAATCAAACATTCTCTCTCATATGGTAAATGATGGCAATCATATGCTAACATGACTGGGGTATGTATATATATATATTGATGGGATCCATGTCACCATGCAAAAATATATATATATATATATATCTATATTGATGGGATCCATGTCACCATATATAGACCATGAAAATAGCATACATGGATCTTATAGCAATTGAACATCCCTGAGTGAGATTTCTGGAGGTTTCGATCAGGAATCCAACGAACATAAGCCACCGGTTTTTCCAGCCATGACAAGGATGACACTGGATATGCACGGTGCACGGTGTACCAAGTTATCACAGTTGTGGCCCTTAACAGATATACATGGGATACGATGGGATTAGAATGATGTATAACCAACTAGTTATAGGAGGTATATGTCCATTTAAAACTGTTTTCATGGCCATAACTGCATGAAATTATTGGCGGAGCTCCTCAGTGCTGCTGCTCACGCTGCTGTCGTCCAACTCGCTGGTGGTGCTGGCGTGGCAATGGATGAGGATCGACACCAAGCACCAAGGGGATTTGTGCATGCCATCAATCAATTAATCATCAATGATATTAATATGTTATGATACACTAACCATCATCAATCAATTAATCATATATTAATCAATCAATTTACATTAATATGTCATCATGTATATGTAATTATCAATTCATCATCATCAATCTACCCTCTGGTAATTTAACATAGCTATGGAAAATCACCATTTTTAATGGGAAAATCCACTATTAATGGCCATTTTCAATAGCTATGTAACAAATTACCAGAGGGTACATTACCCTGACAAATCTTCGGTATGTGCATGCCATTTTAACTAGAAGGTGCAACAATGATCAGAGCCACGGCTGGGTAGTTGAGCAGCAAAAGGTGGCGCTTGACAACACATTGCGGCAACGATGGCAACAAATTTAGCACAGCTGTGTCTGAAAATCGGGGAACATGATCCTGCACTTATGATACTTATGATACTTAATGATACTTATGTACATTTTGATGGGGAACATGATGATAAACCATTGTTTGTTTTGGTTTTTCGGTTTTCCCAGCTTTCCCATGTTTTCCCTAATTCCTTGTCAGAAAAAGCAACATACACGGAAACCATGTAGAACCTTGGACCTGCCTGACAGCTACTATAGTCTTTCCTAGTCTTTCCCCGGCAAGCACCTGATCACAATGCTGGTGAGCCATCGAAGAAAGGCTGAAAACCTGGCTGAGAGCCGTTGTTGGTGACCTGCCGATGTCATGCGCCCATTTAAAATGTGGGTAAAAAGTAAAAAATGGTAAAAAAAAAATCACCAAACGCTTCCAAATCGATATTTATATCATATAAGTGTGGACTGCCAGAGATGACTGTGTAAGTATCCAAGATCGTATCCGAGATCTGCCGGAAATAATCAGCAATGAATTATATGTAGAAGTATCCCAGATTTTCCCTTGCCAGCTTGGACTGCCAGAGGCTGTCAGAAAAACTATATTTTTTGATGAAAGGAAATCATCCACAGGTAATTTGACATAGCGGAACATCCTGAATCTCCGCAGAGCTGGGGTCCCTAAAAATTTGCGAAGTTACTGGGTTCCCATTGCAGAGCTACATCATGTAGTGTATAATTACCTGTACATCAATGCCAGGAGTTTAGCACAACATTAAGGCTAACCACCCTTCGTTTTTTTTTGGGGGGTGCTATGCTATACTTTTGTGACACTGGTCATCATCACAAGTGCCACTACCCTATCCGGCTGGCTTGGATAGTGGAAATGATACCATCCGCTGAGTCGTTTCAAAGAAATCTGCAAATATACAGTCAACCGCGTTCATCTGACATAGAGACATAGAGATGGTAATCAAACATAGTAAACAGACAGAATGTGGTAAACCCAATCATGAAAATCCCCAAATGGTAGTTGTTTATGGCGTCACTGAGTATACCACATTACTTCCAAATCAATTCCAAACTCAGCTGACAAGTTGATGACCCCCAGGTCCCCAAAACATCTCCTGAGTCGCCAACCTTTCCATACTGCTACAGAGGGCCCACTCGCCCTGTTGCCTGGGCACTCTTCAATGCTGATTTCACCAAACTGGTGAGCAAAATCGGATGCTATCTGTGCCGCTCTAAGCTAATACCTCTCCTAAGAAAAACGATGCTTGGTTGCAGTTTGTAGGTTTTTCCGACATCAACAAAACACACCAGTATGCCATTTACCGCCTCTGCATAGAATCATGTTTCATCGTCATGAGTCTGATAGCTGAGTACACATTGTTATTGAATTGTTTGTGCGACTAATGTTTATAACATGCTCGGCAATCATGAGCTATATACGTCATTTCAGGCCGTTGACTTTTGAATATCAATATCTCCAATCATATAAATGCTTAAGATGATCTTGATATTCATTGTCACTTAGATTTTAACCTATATATATATAATTCTATATCTACAGACAGAGGTACTTGGTGGCTCATCCCACGGCTCGTAAGTGGGTTAGTTCACCCCAGTGATTTCAGTGGATTAACCCTACTTATTAATTTACTTATCCCATGTAAATCACCATGGGGGTCCCATGGTGCCATGGTGCCATGGTCCCGCCTCACAGACCAGCTGGGGGCACTTTGAAGCAATCCTCCCAGCTCCGAAGCCAGGGCCTGCCAGGTTTTAAGAAAATCCCCAGAATTTGACCTCGGTAAATCAGAAATCATCCGGCCTGGTTTGGTAAATAACAATGGCCCATAGAAATAGATGGTTAATGTAGGAAAATATGGGAAAATCAATGAGAATCATCTATACCCTCTGGTTATGACTAACAGGGCCAGCCATGGCCCATAGAAATAGATGGTGAATATGGGAAAATATGGGAAAATCAATGAGAATCATCTATACCCGGCCTGGTTATGACTAACAGGGCCAGCCATGGTTATTACCATGTCCCTAATCGAAATAGATGGTTTACCGAACTGAAAAAAGCATGGTGGTGATTTTCCATGGCGAACTGTTAAATTACCAGAAGGTATAAATCTGGAACTTTCTATAAATATTGGAACATGTTTGGCTGGATTGATAAATAGGGAAAAATCATGACAAATCCATATTTTCGGTTGTTTGCCATGACATACAATCAAATATAGGGTGTTCCTGTACATGTTCATATTTTTTCCCTTCAAGCAATTCTGGGAGTAAAGAACAGAACACATCCAAAACTGTTTCTGGTGACACATATCATTGTTTGGATGAGTGATTGAAAACATGCAACAACTTGATCACTGGTACACAAGGCTTGGAGGCTGCTCAAGTTCTGCCAAGATTACCCAATTCCATTGGTGAAAAACGGCCATGTAACAAGTGTTGAGCTTAAAAACGACCCTGTCATAAGTGGTTCAGAACTCAGCAACATGAATCTACACCATCTACAGATAGATTTATTGAAATCCCCCCGGGAAAAATATGTAGATGTGGAATTTCCAGTGTGGTTTCCCTGGAAATATGATGTACACATACAAAAAAAAATAATTCAATACAAATGCATCATCAACACATAAATAAATATATACAGCAACTAGCTAACAAACAAACTAACTAACCAAATAAGTAAACACACAACAAACAACAAACAAACAAACCAACTAATTAACCAAACCACCTAACTAATAAACCAACTAACAAACCAACTAACCTAACCTAACCTACCTACCTACCTACCTAACTAACTAACTAACTAACTATGTAACTAACTAACTAACTAACTAACTAACAAACTAACTAACCAACTAAACTAACAAACAAACTAACTATACTAACTAAACTAACTAAGGAACTAACTAGCTAACTAACGAACTAACTAGCGAACTAACCAACTAACTTAACTAACTAACAAACTAACCAGCTAACTAAACTAACTAACTAACTAACTAACTAAACAAACAAAACAAGACAAAACAAAACAAAACAAAACTAATCTAAACTACACTAAACTAAACTAAACTAAACAAACTAACAGGTCGCGCCGTGTCTGGGCCATTGGGCACAAAGCGCCTTTTTTTCACTAGCGAGCGTTGCACACTTTGCCAATGCCTTTTTTCCAGTCAAAGAATGATGCCACAGCCATTGCATAAATAAATGTGTAAATATATATTATGTATACATATGTATATATCTATAAATGTATATATGTCTATCTGTCGATATGTCCATATGTATCTATGTATATATGTATAGATGTACAAATGCATAGATGTATTTATGACTATACATATAAATGTATGCATGTACATATAGATATATATATATATATGTATATGTAAACACATTTAAGAACCTTAAGATGCCCCCCCCAAGAACGTTAACATGCCTCCCCCACCACCCAAGCCCGATGTTCACAAAGCATAGATGACGTGAGCAAGTTGACAGGAACGTTAACATGCCCCACCCCCCCCAAAAAAAAACATAAAAAGGCAAAAAAAGGTTTCGTTACCAGTGGCCACAGCACGGCGTTGGGAACTAACAAACAAACAAACTAACTAACTAAATAACTAATTAACTAACCAAATACATATACACATAACTAACTCACTAACTAAGCAACCAGCTAACTAACCAGCTAACTAGATAAATGGATCAATAAATAATCTCATATTAGATTACTAATGGCTAACTAAACAACTAACCAAGGAAATACCTACTGAACAGCAACGACTTAACGAAGAATTACCGCGCACCTCTGCCGCAACCAGCACTGCGCCCTTCTGCGCCGTAGCGGCAAAGGGCTCAGGGGCCAAGAGGGCCTGGGCATGGCATGGCCACGGCATCGAATTGATCCCATCTGACCCAACCTCGGTTCGCCAGGTGGGCTCCAAGTTCTTCAACAAGGCTTGGACCTTGCTGGGAGCAAAATGGTGATTTAATAAAGGAAAATCATGGGAAATCTGGATATATAGGGGATTTAGGTGGGGATTTAGATGGATATATAGCTGATTTGTGATAGCTAAGTTGGTTTATGATATTTTACAATAACTCTAATTCCACTAGAATTTGGGGTAGATATATCGAACTAGTTAATGGGGTTAGAAACCAACTTATAACTGGGGGAGCACGACATTGTGGGAAAAAACGCATACTGTAAAGATTCAGAAAAGTTAATTATTTTTTGCTACTATATGTTGGATTGGATCAATCAATATCAATCAGTTTTCCACTTTTTTGAGGGGGATGCTATAAGTCCTTATCAAAATCAGACCAAACTAGGAGGGAACAGTTGTTCTATCTTTTTATGAGACCCGATAACTGTTGTCCCAGGACGTCCCTGGATGATGATGACTCAGAAATGTACACATACATAGGCAGGCGCAGTGCGCTTGTGGGGTGGTGCGATGACATCTGAATTGGGCAATGCTCGCTTAAGACAAATGACCCTTGGGTCTTAGGTTCATCAACATGAAGGTATCGGTATACGGTATCACTCCTATGAATAAGTTTGGCACTCTTTGAAGGTCATAAAATGTTATAAATTATCACCAGTACAATTATGTGATCCACTTTTGAGTTGACCTCAACTTCCAAGTGGTTTGTTCAGCTGCGGAGATGAAGTTTCATCTTTTCCCCGCCAACAACAAGAAAGATGAATGGGCATTTTCGCTTATTACCACTGTCTTGAACTGACTGTCATCAACGGCTTGTGGTGTGGGCTGTGTTCTGTAGCGAATTTCCGGTCTCTGGCTCTTCAGCCACCCCCCATCCCAATCATTAGACCACGAAAAGTCACCATTGCAGGCGCAGTCTTTGGTAGAACGTCCGGCAACTCCTACAGTAACCATGTAGAGTTGGTGCTTGGTGCTTCATAGAATATACAGCTGTAGAGTATATAAATGTATATCTATATAATAATATATAATATACCCTCTGGTAATTCTGGTAATCTAAGCTGGCAACGAACAGTCTCTATCTGTAGCTTATTCTGCATTGAAGGTGTTTTTTTCCCGTTGCAATGCTTGGTTCTCAAGAGGTACGTGTAATTACTTGCGACTGTGACTATGTGATATGGTCAAGACTAGGGCATCAACGAAAACCGGGAAAGATCTGGCGGATTGGTTTGCCCCATTATTCTAGGCAGGTTATAGCCCCAATGTGGGCCGCGATTTGGGTAACCACCACGTTGGATTTGACTAACCAACCAATACGAACTGACACATTGCGATGTCATCATCGTTATGGTATGTCACATTTAGTCAAATATTTTACGGTAAATTTTGCATCGTCAATAGATTTTTCCATATTATGCCTCCCCATCATCGGTACAACAAACGAATGCTAGGCTGGTGCAATGCACACCATAGAGTAGACGGCCTACCTACCCTTGTCCTTCAACCACAAACAGTATCTGGGGCATGGTCGAAATATGTCGAAATATCCTTGGCAACTTCTTCCGACAGGCGTTTGCCATCTAGTCTCTGTTGGCAGCTACTTTGGGTTGCAGTTCTGCCAGTTATAAGTTGATATATATATATATATAGCTGAAACGATAGAGGTTATATTCCAACTTATAGTGGGCATTAACATGGTTTATACCCATTAAAAAAACACCAGTCCGAGCACCCCCCCTTAGTAGGTTACATATCCCATTATATACTCCAAAAACAAAATCCAATTTAATCCCATTTTATAAAGCACAATATTTTTCTTGGGATACCCAACAACGTAGTATGAATATCCATAAAATATCGTACAGATCCTCTGATAAAACCCATAAAATAACCACCTTGCCTTTCCCCAGAAGTGATAATTTCTTGGGCCTTTTCCCAGGATCTCCGTACGGCGTTCTCCTTGGTTTCTGGAGGCTGCTCAATGCCACCCCCACTTGCGTCGCCCGGCAGCAACCTCGACCCATCTTTTTTGGGCGGATGGGCAAAAAAAAACAGCAACGTTGTTGGGGCTGTGGATATTCATTGGCTATATAAAGTAATCAACTATATCATATATATATACAGTTATATACATTTATAATCAACTACAGTGGGATGTTAACAATATATTATATAATAATGATGGATATGACTCTATGACATATAAACGTGCATGTTTATCTTTGGTACTGTATATGTCTATTCAATTCAATTGATATATTGTCATTTATTGGATATGTGATCCATATATTAGAGGGATATTCACATAAGATCTTATCCCCCTAATATCAAAACCCCCATTCTATGGTCCCTAAATATGTTTTCCAATCCCCTATTAAAACATTGTTTCTGCGGGTTGTTGAATATGAATGGGGGCAGGTATTAGTATTCCCTTCCACATATTGACAAATGTTCAATGATTCCTCTATCATGCCCCTGAAGATCCTATATCAACAACTGTTTTTGGAGGGAGTCAACCCCTATCCAATTAGTTCTGGGTGTTGTCGGATCATACTTTGAATACAGAATATAATTTATATAATATAAATTAATATAATGCTTTAGTGATGTGGACAATGAAGCTTTGGGGCAACATCCTTGAGGGCTGCATCCCCCTTCGATGATGTTTCTGGACAAATCCTCGGATCCCAACGGGCCATTAAGGCCACTCTTGACGGCTGACATTTATGGTCATGTGCCTTGAGATCACGACCAATGTGGGTTAGTTCACCCCAGTTATATGTGGATCAACCCTACAAAAATCATCAAAAATCCCATATCAATCACTGGGGTGAACTAACCCACAACCACGAGCCGTGGGTAGTTAACCACCAAGTACCAATCATCCAATTTTTTTTCAGACTTTGTGAAGCAATGGAGCAGTAGCCATCACCGATGACTCCGGCCTGCTGGGCGCATTGTGAGGCAGCCTGTGTCCAAGCACAGTGGACCGGTGATTTTCCAAGCAACGACCTCTCAGACCTGTCAATTGAAGAGCTAAGAGGATGGCACAACAATCCTTTTCCCCAATATTTAATACCCCTGCCAAAAAAAAATAAATATAATATATATACATCTGGACCCCCATTTGTATCATTTTCATTCATTTTCTTTGTTCGGGGTTCAATTCTGAAATTCCTACTCGACCACATGTGCTCAACTTTAAAGTGTTCGAATTTCTGGTCAAAATATTCAGGGCAAGCTCGGAACGAATTGCATCCATTTGC